TTCGGGGTAACTGCAGACCGACCGTGAGATATACTCCTGGCAGCCGGTTTTCGGAGATGTTTAGATAGGTTTGTAGGGAAAGCTTCGATCTATCTGCCTGCCTGCCAAAACGCACAAAAATTAATCAGAAATAATAAAGTTATGTTGATTGAAAGAGAAAAGATCACGAAACGCTCCATACCACTCTACTTCTTCTACGTGAGCACCGATTATCGATTATATTATTTAATTATTTTGAGCTGCTTTTTGAAGGAAACCGAATAAAAGAAGTACTATTCATTTTCAGGTTTGAGAATGGAAAAAACTTACTGTTGCTTGGCTTGCTCACAATTTGAATCCTTACCTTGCACTTTCATATGGTTGCTCGATGAATCAACATTTTTATTCTGAGAAGTTTAAATTTATCACTTGTCTTTATTGTCCGTTGAACTCCAACCATTAACTTATTTCAAACTCCTTGAAATGCATATATAAATGCTGACTTTTGTGGATGAGTTTTGTAAAAATGCGTAATTTTGCATACAAAATCGATAAATAGTTCAATCTAACCTAGCACATTGATTTTAAAAATAGTTACATGACTTTAGTATTCTTTAGAACAACAATCATATGATCCATGACAGCATTTAGTTTCTAAATTTGATGTTACACGCGATAAACTTTTATATTTATACGTTGTGTTCCTGACAATAAATCTACGATTTAACTTGCTAGCGCTGCCACATAAGTCGTTTATGACTGTTTCTCATGCAAAGCACCTTTTAGAATCTTGTTTATTAAATCTAAAGAAAATGTTTGTGCCCAATTCTGTGGAAGCTTACTAGTCTACGATCTATTTCAAATTTTTATGTCATATTTAGCAATGGGAGATGAATTTAGTGACACATTTTCGCGACTGAGTCTTGATGAACAGCCGGCAACCCCAATTTCACATCGGCGATCAGTGCCCTCTATTGAGGTGACTGTGCACATACAAGATCAACCACCATTCGTCGATCAGAACAATACCGAACAGCCAGATATCACAGGTCCAAGAAAGAAACAGTATGTAACTTTAGAACACAAAATATTTTGTTTTTAAAATCGTAAAGGTCGGATATTAGGATAACGAAAAGTTTCTAAAAGGCTTTCATCACTACTAAGTATCCTCACGTGTGCAGAAACTTTCGTATATATGGTATTTGGAGTTAAAGAATGACAATGCAAGGATGCTTTGAATAATAGTTTCGATTGAATAAAACAAGACTTGAATTCAGAGTATTAGCAAGATCTAATATATAAAGAAGAAAGTTTGTTTGTTTGATTGTGTGTTTGTTCTTGATGCATTTGGACACCGTAGGAGCAAATGCAACCAAACTTTGTAGGGCATACTCTTTCGTCCTGGGGAGGATCAAGGACTACTTTTCGGGGTGAGGATTGAATCGGGATATCGGCTAGTACACATATAAGAGTGAATCGGAAGTAAAACTGCTGAATAGATGCATTCTGATAACAAATATATACTACCATCGAAACCAGCTTTCTATACAATTTTCCCAAATATATTATTAGCGGGTTTGTATGGGAAACTATATCATCCTCTTTGTATTTCAATATTTGTTGTCATAACATCAATAGTGGTCAAGAAAACAGGATCCAAGGTCAATATAGATACGTTTTTTATAAAATGTATCTAATAGTGTAAAAAATGTTCTCATAATTTTGAATTCGATCCTTTATGCAAAACACAACATGCATATAAAATAACTGACTTAGTTAATAATCTATCTCACAGTCTCGATCAGGTTCCATCATCACCATTCTTATTTAAAATCAATGATTTAAAATATGTTATCAGAAGCTTAAATAAAGAAAAGCTTCAGGACCAGATAAAGTATCCAACAAATTGATCAAAACCATTCCACCATGGTATTATTCTTATTTTATCCACATTTAATAAAATGCTTATATTAAATATCTATCCACCACACTCGAAAATCAGTACGATGATCTTACTACCAAAAGAAAGAACATCAGTAAACAATACAAGACCTATTTCATTGCTCTCATGTGCGGACGTCGCATCTTGAAGATATTGAGTAAAACGCCATGTTGTGAAATGATGATTTCTGAAATTAGATTGTTCAGCTGGCAAGATTCCGTTGCTATCAGTCCATTTACGAAAATATATTAAGAAGCATTTTTGATAACATTTTCCTAGACATGAGAGCAATATCCAGTCCGACTTCATTGTGATTCGAACGTGGGTACCTAGGATTAAGAATCAAACACATAATAAATATTTATACAAGAAAAAGGATGGCAGATTATGCTATTCATGACGTTTTCGGACCGACACACATTTTCTTTTATTTATCAACTAAGATGTCTCTCTGTTCTGTTTCAGGTTTACAATCGTTGAAATTACCAGATTCATCACCATTTCCTAGTAGTAGCCCTGACAATGATAACAATAATAATATTGATATGCTTGATCAACAACAAAAACAAAAATCTTCCTTTTTTATTTTGTCATATAGTCATGAAAAATTTATTGAACCTTCATCTACACCGAATTATAAAACATACATTACATCGATATCAGGACTCAGATGGTATGCTAATAAACATATTGAGTTATCGGCTATTGATTTAATAAAAACGTCGAAAATTACATCATTTTTATCTTCTTGTTCTGCACTTGTTCTCCTTATCGGTACAAATTCAACACATTCAACAGCAGCAACACAAATCATTAAACAAGTTCAACATCTAATAGAAAATGTTCGTCATGATTATAAACATCTCCATGATTATCAAAATTTAGCAGTAGTTTAGTGAAATAGTGAAAGAAAACAATCTGTACTTACATGACTTCACTGTGATTCGAACGTGGGTACCTAGGATTAAGAATCAAACATATAACCATCTGAGCTAACAGACGATCGAAACATATACAGTAACAATGCTATGTGTTTCGATCATCTCAGTCAGTCAACAGACTTTGCTTCTTTAATCTATGGCTTCTAAGTTTCATTTACAAAGTAAACAAATCTTTTCGCTCAAAATAAAGTATTTCCACAGACAATCATCTCCTTTCTCATACCTAACTATGTGTTTGAGAGAAATGAAATAGTCTGTCTGTCAGGTCGATAACTGCGTATCTCATCCTTCTGTTTAAAGGTGAATTATGATACTGAGTTGCATTTTATTAAGAAAATCGCCAGATGTAAGTGACTTTTTTGAGACAGGATGTTTCTACTCTGTCATTCGTCTAGCTGTTGAACATGAATAAATCTGCTAATACAGTTCGCATTATTATTTTCTTTCTTCTTATTGTTTTCGTTCTGTTTCGGTTATTCTATCTCAAAAGAAGATTTTAAAGTGAAATGGTCTTTTTCCTCTTTTTTTACGATACACTTTGAAAAAAATTAAAACGCAGCAGAAACTAACGCATAAAAACGCGTTAGATTACCAAATAATGATCCTGCTAAACGCGTTGGTAATTAACGTATCTTAACGCATCCGTTTTCTGGGACATCCGCGTTCTGAGGCGTTGGATTTAAACGCGTTTAGATGCGTGACCAGCGAAACTTCCTCTCTTCCTACTATAAAAACAACCGGACTTTCTAGATGAGTGACTTCGAATATATTTATATACAATACAATTTAAGAGCGGATCAAGCCTATATCAATATTGAATGAAACATTACGAGCCGAAAATCGCGACAATTTGCAAGAGTGGGTTTTATTTTTAAAACTTTTTATCTGTGTCAGAAAAATTACCATCAGCAGCACAAACAGTTTATCGTGGAGTTAAAGATGTAGATCCCCAAGTGATAAATATATTAATGGTGAAAAGCTTGTTTGGTGTTTCCTCATGCACGCTAAATATACATGTTTTACAAGCAGAACAATTTTTAGAGAAACTTGGAACAAGAACACTATTTTCAACTGATAGTACAAGTAGTAGATCGATTATGGCCCATTCACATTATAAAAATGAAGAAGAGGTGATTGCCCGGTACCTATCTTGAAGTTGATAAAATAGATGCAAATAACGGTTTACATATTGTTCGATTAAAACAAAGCGAACCGCCGATTAGATTTGTTAAACCAGCAAATGAAATACAGATGACAGAATCAACGAAATTAGCACAAAATATGAAACTAACGGATAGAAATCCAGTACTCGGTCTGTATCTTGATGACTTTTATTTCTCACTTGCTTATCTAATAAAAGCTGTGATTGTGGAAAGTACTGTGGAAGTACTCCACTTCTCATTATTACATGATCAAGCCCATGAGGTTTGTTTTGGTTGATCGGCTAATCGATCCGTCACAGCTCATGGCGATTGAAGAGAAAACTGCGATTTCATGGTTAACGATGAAATCGCAGTTTTCTCTTCAATCGCCATGAGCTGTGACGGATCGATTAGCCGATCAACCAAAACAAACCTCATGGGAGGAACCGTAATAAACTGTTTACATATAGTGTGTTCTGTAATTTGTTTTTTTCGACAAAAACGTTATCGACTGCGATGTTTTTCAGTGTTTGAAAAAGATAATATATCTTACGGTATCTTCAGCTTACTCATTGAGTGGAGCTTTTCAGATAAATCGTTTTTTTCGACGTTTCAGATAAGAATCTTTTTTTACCATTCTCTTTCAAAGTTTTTGCATTTCTGATGCGAACCGTTACAAGGCACCGTTGAAATTGCGTTCATACTTCATAAATGACACTTTATTAGTTGTTCTATAGTAAGATATTATTGCAACAAAAAGGTGAAAGTTTTTCATTGAATAGAATGTCTAAACAATTACTATTGGGTTCATGTTGAATTTCACATTTAATTGAATTTAAAGAAATATAATCATTTAACCATGACATTAACGTTGATGATTCAAATTTCTGATAATTTAGTTTAATCGTTAATGACTTAAATTTTTGTCTTGTCATAATTCGTAGTATAATAGATAATAGTACGTACAAATCATTTATATTTCCCAAGTTGATTGACAAATACTCAACATTAATCAATGTTAAACATAATTTTTTCATTATCTTAAAGTTTTCTTCTTCATATGACTTGATATATAAATTTTTTACCATATGTTTCAATTGATCAAGGTCGTTGGACATTGTTGATAGAATTTTGAAGGAGCAATGCAAGGAATATATTTGTGATGTTTTCTTAAATAATTTAACCAGAAAATCTGTTGGATATGTATCGTCGATCAATATCAAAGCTTTTAAATTTGATAATGAACAAATTTCTGATAAATCATTAAAAACTTTATCTATGGATACATTAGACGGTAATTTCGATTTTAATGATAATGTACCAATATTGGGAAAATATTTATTAGCGGAATTCTCAATGAAATCATAGAGTTTTAAACCAAGTATTTTTACATTTGGAAATGGTTTATTTTCATGGCGTGTTGTAAATCGTTTTACGTTGTACAAACTTGTTTCAAAAAAAGTTCTTGTATATGGTAACGTATAAAGGAATAAACAAGATCGATTGGACGAGTAATCATCAACTAGAAGATATTACAGAGTTCGGTAAGATCTGTGAAATGAACCTTAATGTAAGAAGCTATTTAGTCTGAGAGTATATCCTGCAGATTGCTCTACTTTCAGACGTTTAGCCACCATATATAGATCTAGGATTCGACTAGAAATGCTTTCAGCGCACATCCTGACTTTCAGTTCAGTACCATCTCATCATAACTTCACTCATAATAAAACAATCCTTTGATTTCCGGTGTTTCTGGCGCAGAAGTTTTTTTAGCAGTTTACGTAGTAGCGTTTAGAACTCTTCAACCCAGATCGACAAAACTTATCAAATGATCTTACATGATCTTACAAGATTTCATATGAATCAGTCTCGCTGATTCCACATAAGATTTTTCTTATAACCAGATTTTACAAGATCTTACAAGAACGTGTGATAGGATCTTGTATGATCATGCAAGATTAAGATGCATTCTGATGATCATGCAAGATTAAGATACATTCTACTACGGTTTGGCTAGTGTAAATACTTGGCTGATACAGTGCAAGTAAATTTACTTGAAAAAGTTCAGTCAAGTACTTGTTTCATTTATCCTTATTTTGTATTTTACACATATTCTGGAGCTATGCTCGACTTTTGTGGAGCAAATGCATGCACGGCTACTACTTTTGTTCAACTTAGTAGAAACATATAAGTTTATTTTATAAGTGTATAACGATTGATATTGTGGTGTTTATGTACCAGTGATCAACGCAAAAGAAAAGGGTGACTGACTTGTCCAAGTACTTGGCTAAAGCAAATCAAGTAACGACGCTTGGCAAGTTCTTGCTCAAGCACTTATCAAGTTGTTAACTTGTCACGTCCTTCCCAAGTAATCAGGTACTTGTACCAAGTACATTCACTAGGGTATGTTATATACTACAACTTCTGTACTGTTAGGACCATATGGGTCGTCAGTTTTCTTGCAAAAAAAAACTATGTTATATATACATACACTCAATATCATAGCAAAAGTTATGTGGTAAGAATGAGTCATCGATTCTTGCAAGGTCATAAGAATATATAAATAGAAGTCACGTCTCTCAACGACAAGATCTTGTAAGATCATACGCTTTCGTGTTACAAGATCTTATACGATCTTATCACGTCTTATGAGCTGATCATGTAAGAAGTTATGACAAGAAGTTAGAAGATTCCGCAGGATCTTACGACATCCTAAGACAAGATCTTGTAAGATCACGCAGTAAGATCCTGTTACTAGATTTCATCAGAAAACGGCAGATCTTGTGTGATCTTGTAAGATGAATTCCATCTGGGAACATTTCAAACATTTTTTCGTGCAGTACACAATACAAGAGATAGTGAAAACGTAACAGAGTTTCTCTGTAAAAACAAAACTTATGTTACATTTTTTATTCAATTTGACCATCTAAGTCGCGTCCATTCCGTCCTTCTGCAAATGGAACACGTGTACCTCAATTAGAAAGAGACTAACTTTCATGACAATTTTACAGTAGACGCAACTGTTTCTCCTTTATCTACTCCATGCATGAAAAGTTTGTTTTGGTTTTAATGTGGTGCTGCCGGAAAAAAAAGGAATGCACTGGAGTGTTTTCTGAATAACGTTTGAGAGAAAAATAGTAGATACCTGCGGTCTCTAAAGATGCGGTAAGGTATTGGCTTCCAGCCGATGAAGACCGCAATTGTCTATCATTTTTCTCTCAAACGTTATTCAAAAAGCATCCGACTACTATCCAAAACGACATCTGCGGGTAATTTTGGATTAACTTTTGAACTGTGATAGGTGGAGCCTTGTGGTTTTCATCAGTGAGGGTGAAGGATACTTGCCTGTAGAAATACTCTACTGCAGCTGCTATAAACGTTGAGAAGTGACTTACGTTGAAGTATCACAAAGTGAAAGAAACGTCTTAGATTTTCTGACGAGGTTTTGCGAAAAACTTACGGCTGAAATAAAGTATATTTAGAATTACGAAATGTTTTGAGCCAATCCTAAATAGGTTTTTATAAAATAGTCTAAAATATGCTTCTTTCATACACTTTTTCGTTTTTTTCTGTTACCAATTCATTGGATGAACGTTACGAATTTAAATAAGAAGCAAGTGAGATTTCATTTCCTGTTTTCAGTTTTTGCTGACCACCTACTATTACCGGGATATTCACAAGAACAGCGCCCTCTATAGTGTAGAATAGTGAATATCTCGGTAATCGTAGGTGGTCAGAAAAAACTGAAAACAGGAAATGAAATCTCACTTTCTTCGATTTTTCTTTAAATTTGTAACTTTCATCAAAATGAAT